CGTTGAACATTTCAAAAAACTCTGACCGGACAAGAGACCGATTGCTCTGCTCATCATGAATAGCATACAGCTTGATTGCCTGGTCTGGGTGGCCTGCTGGGTATACCTTTACAAGGCAAATTTTAGAACATGACCTGTTAGCTAGGTTACCACCGCAGACTTGAGTGCATTTGGAAGTGACTGCACTTGGCAAGGTGACACCCTGCTCCCCGCCATGCTCTACATCGGAGTCAGCTTCTTTGCTCCAGGGAGCTGGGCCAGGGTGGAGAGCTGTGTTGTGATTTTCATTGCCGCATTCAGAGCATTGCACTTTGGCCTTACAATGTTTAGCAAAATGTGTCGACGAGGCGCAGCATCTAAAGCAAATGTTGTTCTCTTTCAGAAGTGTTCTGCGTTCTCCGATGGGCTTCTCACGAAAGGCTCTGCATTTTAGAAGGGCATGAGGTTTTTTGTGTACTGGGCACAATTTATTACAATCATCTGACCTTTTTGAATTCCCTTGTGACTCATAGCTGGGGTTCAAAAATACTTCTGTTTTGTGTACTGACACTTCTCTCTGTCTGTTAAACTTCCAGAAAGGTTTTTCAGGTCTGGGTGCAGTGTCAGCATGAGAGGCAAATTTAAAGCTTGGATCATTTCTATTATTAGCCTCTCGGTTAACAAAGTCTACTAGAACGCTAAACGGGGGAAAAGAGACCTGGTAATCACGTTTGTAATTTGCACCAACTGAAACCCACTTTTCTTGTAAGTAAAAGGGGAGTTTTTGCACAATTGGGTTTACACCCCTGGCAGAGTCTAGAAAAGAGAGGCCAGGGAGGTCTCCCTCCCTTTTGGCACTCTGGAGCTCCATCAGCACATCACCGAATTTTCTCAGCTTCACGTAATCTCTGTTTGTGATCTTTGGAAAGTTGTCGAGCCGCTTAAACAGAGCATCCTCAACTGCCTCTGCAGAGCCATAGCATTGGTCGAGTCTCTCCCAGATCATTTTTAGCCCGGCATCTGGATGATTGATGTGTATAGCTCTGATTTGTTCAACATGCTCCACAGATTCTTTACCAAGCCACTTACAAAGTAAATCCATCTCCTCACTTGCGGACAGATCCAGGCCCCTTACTGCATTCTCAAAAGAGCGTTTCCAGGCTCTGTAGTTCTGTGGCCTGTCGTTGAACTGTAGGAGGCCTGTTGTTACTATTTCCCGACGGGCAAGGTATCTGACAAATTCGCTGATATTTCCATCACCGTGGCTTGACGGCCTGGAATTGCAGGCGGGATCATAACAGCTATTTCTTGATTGTTGTTGTGCCCGATCATGATTTCCATTATGGCTAACTGGAAGTGGATAGGGAGGAAGGTGAGATAATGAAGTAGCTGGAATCTGTTGCCGGTACGCACTCTGTTTAGAATGATTTTTTGTATCTAATGTTAATCCACAGTTTACCAAGTTTATGTGTGAGGAATGAATATCACTGGGGTTGTCAACTATGTTAATTGGGAGCTTGTTAAGTGGTGACGGCTCTTTGTGCATTTCAGTAGTTACATTTTCTATCACCTTAGTCTGAGCCAGAACATAGCTTTCCGTTCGCAGTGAACTTTCAAGAGAAGGGAGATCTGAATCATGATCATCAATTTGTGATTGAACAGCAGCCTCTAAGACTTCTGCTTCTGCTGCCGCCATAGCTGCATCTTTCTCGCATTGAAGAAGTTCCATAGATGCTTCAATTTGAGCCTTTTCTAATTTCAGATTTACTTCTTTCTTAGCAAAGGCAAGGCGAGTTTTAGCTGCCTCCGCTTTTGCTCTTGCCCTGGCTGCTGCCGAACCAGTAGAAGAGCATGAAGCCTGAGATCTTGTTTTATATGAATTAGCAGACATGGTGCCGATGTTAGCTTCTAGTGAAACACTGCTTTGGAAGCTGTACTTAGCTGATACGTCGTGGCACTCCAAAGGTGTCTGCTATTAGCCTGATCTGCGTTACCTTGTCCGTAAGGATGCCGTCGTTTCACTGTTCTGTCCTCTATGCGTGCGGTGCATTCACTGACAGACAGCTAAACGCTTTACTCCACTCAAACTTCTGGATATAGATCGCCAGGTTTATTGGTTGAAGCAAAGGTGAAACTAAAAAGAAAACAGATAAAATAAACAAATTCTGACCCGCATCGACACCCCATATTAATCAACAAAAGGCATGACCAGCGAAAATCATATGCTAAGAAGAAAAAAAAGCAAACGAAATTGACTTCTTGCAAGCAATGAATATACATATTAAACTTAAAAATAAATAAATAAACACATGAAAGCAAGAGTACATGTGCATTTCCTCTGTACATACCGACGATGCAACCATAACAAGATGTATGCTGGAGTGGCTAACGATGTGAGCTGCCGAGACGTCTTTCTCCGTGACTGCGTCGTTCACTTCCAGGATAAAGTTTTTGTTTCAAAACTAACAAACTGATATGTCGGCCAAACTAAAAAATAACCAGTAGATGGCGCACTTTCAAATATTTCACTCCATAGAAATTACAATGAAATGAATGAAATTAAATACATACATTTTTTATATTTAACTCAAACACTACAACTTGTAAAACTGGAACAAAACACTCCCCGCCTGGCGTTAATTGGCGCCACTCTTTTATGAAAGTCAAAACAATATATCTCAGTCTTTATGATTCTGGGG